AAATATATGAGATAAATAAGATAAAATAAATAAAAGAAATATATTGTATAAAAGAAATATATGCTATAGATAACATAGATGACATATATGATTTCTTAGGGATCGATGTCATCCTTTAGATCATCATTATCCATATCTTCTTTTGTGTAATACTATTAAATGATTAGATTATTTAATGAATTTATAAATTTATTATTTATTGAAAAAATAAAACAAAAAAATATTATTGATAATATGTCAAATAACTAGATATTTTCTGAATAGAGATTAAGTTTTATTGATGCAGACGCATCTTCATCTCTAATAATTTAACAAATCATTTACTTTAGATCACAAATAATTTTACTGAATGTATAAATAGAATAATAAAAATAGTATATAGTGGTAAACAAATACCATTATCATTTATTAAATACATATATATTGTAAAATTTTAAAGTAATACCATTACTGATAATAGTAGATTAAATATATTTAAATCTAGTTTAATTACATTGTTTAATATATAAGCTATTGAACAAGAGATAATTTTTATTATTTAAATCATTAATAACTTATACATAAACTAATTTATTTAATTTATTATCTACTATTTAGAATACTAAATCACATTTATACTCAGATAAATTGTGAAAATTAAACTAAGAAAATTTGAATTTTCTTCTTTGTTTAATATAAAAAATATTTATTTCTAATATTTTTTTATTAAAAATTATATAATGAACTATTTATATTCTTTTATAATTATAAATCCATGAATATGAATAATCAAATTATAAGAAAATTCAAAAATATGATTAATTTTCTTTTAAAATCCTTATTATTAGAACATATAGAATTTAATTCTAAATTTTATTTATGTAATATTAGTACTGAAGAATGTGTATATTAGAAGTACATTTAAAATAATTCTTTATAAGATATTATTATGCAGATACCTTATTTAAATATGCAATTAAAAAAAAATTTATAAACATTATAGATAAAATAAAGTATAAATTAGTCTAGTATTTTTAAAATAAAGAATATATTATTCTTTCATCTGCCAAAAATAACATTATTTATTAAGATATAATAAAAAATTCTTTCAAGAAATAGTTTGATTATATGGAATTTATGGTAATATATTATATTAATTTAATAATAGTTATAATTATTAAATTAAATTAACCTTTATTTTAATAGAAAATAAAATTTTTATACAACAAATTGTTTAATTTAAAATATTAAAGATCTATTTAGACTACTATAATTAAATGATAAATCAAGGTTAAAAATAAGAGCACTACCAAAATTATCTTCCAAATCAAGAAAACTTAATAAATTTAATCTATACAAAAAATTATCAAGTGTTATCTTTTCAATACAGTAGAGAAAAATTAAACATACTTATAATATTAAACAAAATTATAATTCATTTAATAAATTTTATTAATTTTATGATTAATATTTATTAAAATATTTTAATTTATGATTAATAATATTAATATTTATTTTAGATGTAAATAATCAACAAAATAATGTGACTATTATAGATAATTGTAATTTTTAAAATCTTTTTCAACCATCAATTATTTACAATAATGTTAATTCTCAGTATAATAATGTGATAGTACATAAAATTTGTATTCATATTGCAATAAGAAATTACCTAATATTTTACCAGAAAAAACTACAAATCAAATTTTTTTCTTAAAAACAAACCTATCACAAAATATGATTGTTATTCATTTTGTATTATATATTATGTTAAGTTACATATCATTTCAAATGATTTATTAAAGGATATTCAGAATTTATTGATTTTAATCAATTAGTTTCACATATTCAAATATTTAAAGATAAATGTTTAGAAATTATCAATAAAAACTTAGCAAGTTATTATCTATAAATAGTCTTTTCAATTTATCAAGAAATTGGATAAAATAAAGCTAAATTATCAATAATACTTTTTAATAAATACAAGATATTTTAGATATTAATTTTAAAATTAATTTTTTTATATTAATTTGTTTTAAAAAACTTTATTAAACCATATTAATTTATAGACTAGATATTATAGATCTAAAGGATTATATTTTATTGCTAATACTTTAATAAATTTATTCATTACTTCAGATATTCTTATATCACTTAAAACATTCTGATGAATTAACATATGAAGTTTTGATATCAAAAGTGACAAACAGATTAATTCAAGAAGATTATAATAATAATATAACTCTAGAAAATGCAAGAAAAATCATGATTAAAAGTATAAAATTTGAAGAATTTTTGCATTATGGTGATGATATATAATGTTTTACTTGAAATTATAAAATTCATTAGATTAAAATACCAGTAATAGTCTATAGAGTATAGATATAATATTTTATTCTTTTTTATATTAATAAATTGAGTATATAATATTTAATTACAATACGATATTATATAAAAGATAAGATACAATAAATTATTTATAGGTACGATCAATTATATATAGATACTATATATACTAATATAGCAAATTATTAATAACGATCATTAACTCTACATTTTTGAATATGTTTTAAACTAGTTAAATATATTTGCTTAAATTAATTTTTTTAACATGTTTAATTCATTTTTTAGATAGTAATATTTGTTGTTTTAATAAAATATTTCTAATAAAATAATTTGCATATAATTATTATAATTTTAAGCATTATTGAATAATAAATATAAGATATTTATAAATTAAAAAAAATTAAGTATAATATATAATTACTAAAATTAAATCTAATAATACTGCAACTTTGAAAAATCTGAGACATGACGAAATTTATTAAATATAACCTTTCTTTATTTATTAATGAGAAAAATCTTGAGAGGTAATATAAATTTAGATTATATATACAGCATAATATCATAAAAATTTATAAGAATTAAGAATTAATGAAAAAAAATTTTATATAAATAAAAGTTGCAGATATAGGTACATACTAAAGTTGCAGGTACATTTTTTGCACGCAAATAGTATTTATATATATATACAGAGTTATAGATATGGTATAATTAATAAAAAATATTTGTATCTGCAAAAATTTTATAATATTATATTCAAATGACGAAATCGTAATGTAACCATTTAGGGAATACCTTAATAAATTTTATATGTAAATTGACTTTTTTTTGTTGTTATCAATAAAATTTATTGACTTTTTTGTATATTTCCAAGTCGCAATTTTTTTTAAATAATCAAAAAGTTAAATTTACTAAAATAATCAAAAAAATTACAATTTATACAACTAACTTCTATAATTAAAAATGCTATTTCTTTAATTAAAAATGAATTATTTACATCTTATATTGCAGAATTATCTCATATTTTGAATCATTAATAAGACGTCACCAATAAATTTTTATAAAAATTCTTTAAATATTATTTCTTTTTCTTTGTTCTTAAGATAAAATATTTTTTCTTAAAATTCACATGTTGTCTGTTACACATTTTATCATAATTTTGATAATATTTGACATTTATTAATTTTTACTTATTAGGAAATTTTTTTTTAAAAAAAAAATCTGTTTAAACTTGAATCAGAACTTACTGAGAAAAGCTTGTTAAAGTATAACATGTTGGAATTAGAATATGAATTTTATTAAAAATGTGAATTTATAAAGTTAAAATTATGAATATAAAATATGATCGATAAATATGTAATTATTCTTAGGTAATATTATTTATATGTAACATCAATTCTGATATTGATATAATAGGTTTTGGTATTTTTTTTTACAAATAAAATTTCTTTTTACTCATTGCTTTTACTCTTGTTCTCATATATATTAGTTTGAAAACATGACTATCACTTTGATTTGTCTAATTAAAAGAAATAACTTCAAGAATGCTTTCATCATTGATATTGATAGCAAAAACTTAGTTGATCGTTTCAGAAAGGTTATAAAGGCAGAAAATCTGCAAGCTTTCACTAATATTAACACTAAAGATTTAAAATTATGAAAGGTAGAAATAGATTACAATGATTAGTTGAGAAATATCTCACTCTAGGATAATGAAGAACTGTTGATAACAAATTATATAGGATACTATTGGCCTAAAGTATTACCTATAACATATATTTACGTAATAGTCAAATCATCTAGAATTTTTGATCAGATTCTCAAATGACCTTCTGTAGTATCAATTTTTGAAGAAAATAATGATAGTGCTAAATGATGAAAGATTCAAGAAGGGTGTTTGACCTAATTCCTTCTAACTATTTACAAAATTATTATTTTTTTTATCTTTTATTTACTTATTTTTTTTAAAAGGTTATGCTTAAACAGTTAATATAGAAGAAAAAGCAGATGGTCCATCGATTGGAGACATTCCTTCTGTCTTTGTGAAAATCAAAGAATAAACTTCACAATATTTATGAGCAGACCTTTTAATCAAACTGGTCCTCCTATTGTTCTATTTCACTATGACTTTAGCTAATTTATTAAAGATTTTACAAATCAAAATTTGCAAATTCAACATAATATATTTTTAATCGCTCAAAAACTGATGGCCATTGCATCACAAATTTTTAGCAATGAAAATTCTCATAATTCTGCTATGATAATGGAGCTGAAAAGTATATTTAAACCTCTAAAATCTACTATATATTGCATTGATAATAAAAAATTTAGCAATAGCGTCTTGGTAACTAATATTAGGGCTCAAGTTTGCTATCAGTTAATATTTAAAGAAAAAAAGGAACTATATGCGACTAAAGCTGAGCCAACTCTGCAGGCTAGCTTATATTATCACGGTTATTGGTCCCAAATCAATGTATGTGATTTTTCAATGGTTTGTTATTACTTATTATCTTATTATTCTGTTTAAACTTACATTTTTTTGTTTCATGTTTGCTAATAAACAGTCCAAAAAGGTCAGAGACCAGTGCTGTTGTTCCTCATATATGTTGGTCATTGCAGATCCTTGAATTTGCCTTCTCAGAGTATCTATATCGATAAAGTAATAATAGAATCACTAACGGACTTCATTTCTCTCATACCTAAACTGGGAGATGATAGTCAAGTGAGCCAAATTGCTCAGTTCCTAGCGGCTCTGAATTTTGCTATGAGCAGGTTCAACAATTATTACCAAAATTTGCAATTAAATAACGATAGCCCAAATGATCAGCGTTATTTCCCTTATTTTTCAACTTATCAAGACAAGAATAACAATCGAATCGGGTTCAAATATATCCATCTGCTGACTGAGGACTTTCAAAGACCTATTTGGAAGGCTAAAGCCAAAAACCGTTCAATTGTCATCAAGTTTGCTCGAAGATATGGTGTGAAGGCATACAACATATGCGCTAAGCTAAGACTCGCTCCAAACTTGTTATACAGTGAAAACCTTCAAAACGGATTCATGATGATTGTTATGGATTATGTTGATGGAGATCCATTAACAACATAAAAAATCAACACTATGTCATATAACAATCGCAAAATCATCATGAAGAATATGGAAAAAGTGGTCGCGACCTTGCATGAACAAAATATTGTGTTTGGCGATCTTCGTCGCCCGAATATTCTAGGTACCGGATTCTTGTAGATTTTGATTGGTGTGGAAAACATAGTATTGATAGATACCCTGTTACGATAAGTACTGAGATACCTTGGCCCCAAGGTGCAAATCCTGGTGCTTTACTCATGCAAGCGCATGACGTTCACTGGCTTCAAGTGATAAATCATGATCTGAATTTATAATTAGGAAAAAAATCAATCTAAAGGAAAAGACAGGTTTTATTTTATATGAGCAACTATAAAGGTATAGCAAACAATGTAATTAATAAATTTCGGCTATGGGTTATGTTGCACTGATACTGTGGTGGTAACATTCTATGAAGTAAAATTTAATATGTATTGCTGTTGTATTAAATAAAGTTTTCTAGATGCTAAATAGACGCTTATAGTTATCAAGGTTTTTTTTGTGATTTTATATTGTGTGCGGTGTAACTGATCTGAAATTAATGCGCAGTTCATTAATCGTGCTGAAACGATTACGTATTATTCAGAGGATTAAATCCTTTTTCGCGTTGATACCAAAATTAAGCCAAGACGAAATCGACCATATACAGTATAAATACTGTAGCTATTGACTTTGTTTCAAAAAAACGAATCAAAGGTTAATGCATTGATAATTGAAAACACATTTCTTAGTATAGTAAGTTTTCAAAGTCGACCTTTTCAAATTTTTTTTTTTTTTAAAAAAAATCGAATAATTTGCTTTTCCTTTTTAGCCGAAATTGGTTCCACATATACTACCACTACTACAATATTTAACATTTATGTGTTCACAAATTTGGCCATCCGAAAAATTGATAAAAAAGATTAAGTTTATACCAATATTATTTTTATCCGGGACAAGAGATGAAGTTATACCACAACAACATATGAAAAAATTATTTGAATTATACCAACCAGTGGCGGTAAAGAATGGAGAGAATTTTTATATGGTAGTCATAATGAGACCATTTTTCAACCCGGTTACTTTCAATTTGTTGGTAAATTTTTAAAAAAGCATGTTGATTTAGATAGGAATTAAGGAAGGAATCATTTAGTAATGTATATTGTATATTGTACTGTACAAGTAAATTTGTATATTTTGAATTAATAGAGATTGTTTAACGTAAATAAAAAAAAAAAATCATTTTCTTCGTTACACAAGGGGAAATGGAAATCGCAAATGATTCGTTTTTGCGTTTTTTGAAAAAAAATTGTGACTTTTTTGATTATTTAAAAATGTAAATGTGATCGTAGATCTCTGCAATGTAACACAATTCTTATTTGACATAAATTGACTTGTACATGAAAGGTAATAAACATTTTTATGTCCCAATAAAATAAAAAAAGATGAAGGCACAAAAAAAACATTTATAAAAAAAACACTTGTTTGAACCATATAATATTGTAATGCTACTTTATAATAAGAGATTTATTTGTATACGACCTGCCCTATTGAATGCTTTGGTGAACTTGTTTCTCAAAACTTTTTGTATGCAATATCACCATGAGAAACTTTAGAGATAATGTTATAACAAAGAATATTGAGAGTAGGTCAAAAAAAAAAAAGGTATCACAAATAGGAGCATTACAATATGATATTGAAACAAGAAGAATGCAATCGTCGTCATTACAAGAAATGCATAATCATATTGTATCAACTAATACATACGAATTTCAACGATCTCACAAGATTTGTTTGGCTGAAAACCTTTCTCTCTATCATCTTAAAATAATAATTTATACAGTATATATATGAAATAATAGTAAGAAATGGTCGTATCATGAAACTAGGCAGTTATCAAACGTCATGCAGAAATCTATACTATTTTCTTTTTTTGATTTTGGGGCACAGAATGATGATTTAAAGAGCACAAATTGGAGAGTTACATAATTAATATACATCTCTATTTTTTTTTTTTTTAGATTAGATTAAAACTCATTCAAGTAATAAATAACTTAAATACACGAAATATTATTTTGAAATGAATTTATACTGATCACATATATAGGTTCATTTTATAATAGAACAAATGTTAAAAGCAGAATATTTTTTTCACATGTATTAAAAAATCGGTGTGATAAGTTTTTACTCGTCTCATCGTTATGATACATAAAGGATTTCATCTTCCTATAAACCCAAATAAAAACCTTTGCAATAGAAAAGGGGGAAAAATAAAAAATGAGTTTATGCTAAATCTGAACATATTTTGACCTAAAAATCATTATTTGGCATATAAAAGTAAATTGATTTTCCCCAAAGAAAAAAAACCATTTGTGGAGGACTTTGTCTAATTTAATCGACTGTTACTTGGATCACGAACCTATAGGATCGCGTGACGAATTCCGCGGAATATTATACTGATCGACACAATCCTTTTCATGTAACTGTACGTTATTCGTTGTTCATAATGTTATTATGACTCGAGTGACTGGAAATCAGGAAAATGGAAATAAGGAAACCGAAACTTCCTCGTCGTACGATCAGCTTCAACAGCAACTTACGACACTTGGCTACAATGAGACTTTTACCTCCGAGTCTATTTCGCTTATTCAAAAACTTCTCGATGACTTTCTTGTCATTGAAGAGAAATGTCAACTATTAAAATCACAATATCAAAAGGTTGAAAGAGAGAAATGGGAGTTACAATGCCAGGTTAGTTTCGTATTACGCGTGCCCTTTCTATTTTAAAAACTATCAGTTTGATAAATATTTCAATTTTTTTTATAGACCGAGCCTCTTCGACGTACACTTGTCTCTCTCACGAAAGAAAATAATCAGCTTCGCGTTGAATTAATTCATGCAGCTGACACTCATGATAAAGAACATGTAAAAACCAATAATCTTATTCGAAAGTATGAGAGAGAAATCTCCGAGTTGAAATTTTTAAATTTGCAGTACAAACTTCGAGCTCAACAACTAGAATCAAAATTTGAAAGCGAAAGAAAAAAAATCGAGGAATTGTTGAACTTTTACGAGGAAATTTGCATTGCAGTAGGAAAAGGTAAGGATCGCATATGTCAATGTTTCTGTAAAAAAAGATCAATGACTTGACACATTTGGTTTCAAAGAAACTGGTGAAAATGTATTAGAACCCGTTCTCGAATACCTTGGTTTAGAAGAACCTTTAGGTTAGTTCCATTCGTTATTATCATTTTTAATAAAAGATTTTGAAAATGAAGGTTTTTAATTTATACGTTAGTTTGTTTTATAAGATCCTATGGAAGACAAATTCGACATCTTTGTACAACCAGATCCTCATGTAGTGGACAGTATACAACTTAGTCAGAAGAGAATTGAAGAGCTTGAACGATCAAATAAAGAATTGTCGGATAAAGAAAATGATCTTCAGGAACAGGTGATTTTTAGCAATTGTCATTTATTTAAAGAATAAAAAATTGTGATTTTAAAGATTTATCGTTAATTTTCCATTTAAATTAGATTTCTAGCCTCGAGCAAAGATTATTGTCGCGTGAGAAAGAAATAGCGCGTTTCGGAACTTTATTGATTAATAAACGTTCCGGATTAAACAGTGGCTCTCCTACTGATGCATCAAATTCAAAGCTTCAACAACTTGAGACTCAATTGGAATATTTGCATGATCACGTCATTGGATTAGAACAGGTATACATGTTCAGACCATTTGGACTATGCTGACGTGAATTGGAACCGATTATCGATCAGCATGAATAATAAGTTATTGATCACCTCATCTAATAAATATGTGCGTGATATATATAATTAACTCTGTGAGAATTTTGATATGTTATATACACACTTACAGGATATAGCGAAACTTGAACAAGAAAAAGCAATCCTCGCTGAACAGGCAGAAGAAGAGAGACAGGAACCTTCGGTCAACAACGGGTCGGAAATCTCAACTCAACAATGAAAAATTGTAACATTGAAAATTTTATTCTTTAAGATGAATACTATTAAATTAACCATCAGATTTTTCAAAAAGAATATCTACAAAGGCGTTTAAATTTTAGAATTTTATATGACTGACCCAAATTCAAATCAAGTGCATCGAAATTTTATTGGTTAATGTTATGATAATTTGGGCCACAATTATAATAATTCAGTGCCGGCCAAATTATCATAATTAATTAAATTTGTAAAATTATCAGACGTTTCAATTTGAAAAAATTAAACCTTTTTTAGCCAATAACCTTTTTTTTTAATTTTGTTTGCACTTTTAAAATGTCATGTAAAACCAATAAATTATCATATTTTTAAACCAATAGAAGCCATTCTAAAAAAATCTTACTGAAGAATAGATGAAAAGATAAAGTAATTAAATTAGAATATGAAAATATTAAAAAATGATTTTAAAATATTTGAAAAAATAAAAAAAATTTATTAAAGTTCTTTACTAACATAAAAATAATATACTGTAAATAGCATTAAAGCATTATATAATAAATATTCAAAATAATATTATAGAAAAAAACGAAAATAATGAATTAGAAAAAGTATATTAATAAATATAATACTTACATAATTAATATATTATAATTAATAAATTTAATAAAATACTTTAATAATCAAAATAAATATAATAAAATTATGATTATATATTATATCTTATAATTACTTATATATTAAAATGTATTTTTTTTTTATTTTACCATTTTATAAAAGTAATCTTGCTTCAATCAAGAAACATAATTTTCTTATTTAAAAAGATTTACTAAAATTATATAATTGTTTTTTGTAAAAATATTAATTATATCATTATAATAAGTATACTTTGATACTAATTGATTTTAATGATATCAAAATCAATTACATCAATTCAACATATATTATAAATTATTAATAAAATAATTATGTTTGTCAAAATATAATTTAATTAATAATTTATCAATTTGCATTAAAATATAATAATATAAATTAAAGATAGCTTTGATATTATATCAAAATCAAATTGTTAAGAATACTTATATAATATTATAATAGAAATATTATTAAATTAATCTTATTAAACTAGATAAATGTTTAAATATTATTTAAATTAAAAAATTATAATTTTATTAAAATCTTATTATTTATAAATATCATTAAAAAGTTAAGATTTTATAATTAAAGTTAAAAAATAATATTACTTTTTAAATATAAAATTATTTGAAAAATAAAAATTTATTTAAAAGTATAAAAATTAAACTATAATCAAATAAGAATAAATTTTGATTTTTAGTTTAAATAAAAAGAATAATATTAAAAAGATTTAAATTTAAAGTTTGATAAAAGATTTTGTAATAATATAGATTTATATAGATTTAATTAAAATATATGAGTATTATATACAATATGAAAGTGAGGGTTTAAAGATCAAAGGTCCAGCCCTCACTGAAACATTGGATGTGTGGGTTATAAAACGTTAAAAATAATATTAATTTTTCTTATTATATTAGAAGAGCTTCTATTAGCTCTAGAATCTTAATTTCAATATTATATTTCTTAATTCTGTGTAGTTCTCCAATTTCAAAAAACATATCGATTTTTATTAATATATTAGAAAAGCTTCTAATAGTTCTAGAATCTTAATTTCTATATCAATTTTTCAGTTATATTTATTAAATCTAACGAAAATTATTATATTAGAAATTGATTTTGCATGAGTTAGCTTATTAATTAGCATATTAACTATTTAAGTCTAACAAAATAAGTCTAATGGTCCTTATTACCCATAAATAAATCTAATAATTTTTTAAGTCTAACAAAAATAAGTCTAACTGTCCTTATTATTCCATAAATAAGTTTAATAATTTTCTTAAGTTTAACAAAATATAAGTCACATGATTTCATAAGTATAATAAAAATATATATATCAAAGCCTGTCTCTATACGTATTTGCTTATTAAATAGCATAATGATTAAATAAATCTAATGAAAAGTTGTTCTAATTTTCCCAAAATATGCCATTCTATAAAATAAGTCTAACAAATATGTATACTAATATCTGTTTCTATACATATTAGCCTATTAAATCTCTTCTTATTTATCATATAAGTCTAACAAAAAAATGACCCAATTCCCTCTATAATAAGTCTAATAAAAATTGTGAATAAAGAACTGATTTTGCATAGGCTAACTTCTTAACTAATATGTTTTATATAAAAATCTAATGAAAATAACTTCTGTAAAAATTCAGAAAAATCTGCAGAATTATCTCAAATTTTCTTTAGTCAAGAACAGATTTTGCATAATATAGCTTGTTAAATAACATATAAATCATAAAACTTTAATAAAAAAATATAAAAAACAAATCTAATAAAAATTTAGCAAATGCTTATTGAATATTGCAGTGATGGCTAGTGATCCAAATGATCTTAAATGATTCAAATGACTAGTCATGTGTCATTTGGGTCATTTCAACATTAAATGACAAATGATATAATCATTTGCCTAAACTAATCAATATCTACCTCCCTAGAACCAGTGCATTTAGAGAAGTATGTATAATAGATAATGTAATATTTTATAAGTTTTGCATTAAGAGACAATGTAATATTTAATAATGTGATACTATATTTTTATTTTATTTATTATAATTATATATTGATATAGAATTTTTTACATAATAAATGTAATATATATAATCTTAGAAATAAAAATAAAAAATTGCTTTAATGTAATTTACTTCATTAAAGTTTTTCTTTCATAGAACTTACTTTTGAACGATCCAATACTAGAAGAATCTGGTATTTACAAAAAAGTAAGAAAATGAATTTATTAATCTTTTCTAAAAGAATATTTAAAATCAGCATTTAACATTAAATAATTTTTTTCATCATAGACTTACCTCCAAATGATCCAAAAGAAGTATCTACAAAAAGGTAAGAAAAATTAGTATTATTGATATTTTTTTTTTTTAAAAAAATTAATATTAAATAAATTTTTTTCATTATAGACTTATCTCTGAACAATCAAGTTTTGAAAAAGGCAATATCTACAAAAGGTATGAAATTTTAATTTAGTGATCTTTTTTTTTAAAAGCAAATTAACATTAATATTTCATCATAGACATACCTCTGAACGATCAAATCTTGAGAAAAGCGGTATCTACAAAAAGGTAAGAAATTTTAATTTAGTGATCCTTTTTTTTTTAAAAAAAAAATTAACATTAGATTTTTTATTATAGACTTACCTCTGAACGATCAAGTCATGAAGAAGGCGGTATCTACAAAAGGTAAAAAATTTTAATTTAGTGATTTTTTTTAAAAAAATAAATTAACATTAGATTTTTCATCATAGAACATATCTCCAAATGATCAAGTCTTGAAGAAGGCAATATCTACAAAAAGGTAAGAAATTTTAATTTAGTGATTTTTTTTTAAAAACAAATTAACATTAATATTTTTATTATAGACTTACCTTCAGAAAGTCAACTCATGAAGAAGGTGGTATTTACAAAAAGGTAAGAAATTTTAATTTAGTGATTTTTTTTTAAAAAATAAATTAACATTAGATTTTTTCTCAGACTTACCTCCAAACAAATCAAGCTTAAGAATTCAGTATCTATAAAAAGGTAAGAAATTAATTTAGTGATCTTTCTTTTAAAAAAATAAATTAACATCAAATTTTTCATCTTCAAATGATCAAGTCTGATTGATTGAGAATTACATGAAAGTATGCGATCTACTTTTTTATTTGATATTGTTTTTTTTCTTACTAGAAATGCTATGCCAATACACCCAGTTTTTATAAGATCAGACCCTTTCGCAGTTAATCACAGTTTATCATCACAAAATATGAAAGTTTCTGAATTTTTGTTAGGTGATCTTATTATCTAATACTAGCTGATTCTAAGTTGCAAATTAACTGTATTAGAATATACTATTAGCAGGTGATTAGTCAAAGGCGTTTTGCCAAAAATTTAGCATATATATTTACTAAACAAATAAACACATAGATGGTTTATGAAGTTTTTATTTATGATATATTAGATCTTAAACCAAAAATATAGCTTAGATATATGGTTACATTTTTCGAGATGCATGAAATAAATTACAAATGAAAAGGCTTTGTCTGAATACATTAATATAAAAGGGTTTTGATTACTATACTGGATGATCAATACAAAAAAATAATATTAATGATGAACATCTGACTTTCAGATATTTACTTAGCTTTAGATAATTAAACATGCCTACAACCCCGTCTTATTTATATTTTTGACAGTAATAAAGCCAGTTGTCCCTATCATATGTGTGATCATACTTAGCTAGATTGCATAATAACAAATACTGTGTTGATTAGTAGTAAACTTACCTGTGATTTTATGCTGATTATTTCTCGATTTTTTAGCTATACATAATAATTTATTTGATTTAATTATTCTATTATTCAAGTCTACTTAACTTTTTTGGCTTATAGAATTTGTCTTTCTTTTCTTTGAATACAACTATTTCTTCTATCATTTCTTCAGATGAACTGGACTCAGATAATTCTTCAATTTCTTAAAGTGTTATAGCATCATATAGATAATATATTTTTCAACTAATGCTTTTAAGATTTTGATGTATCTTTGTTATATCATACTCTAATGCTATAAAGAGTCTTTGATTTCTTGAATAGCACATATCTTTTTTTTTTCTAAATATGTATAATATTTTTTAGAAGTCATTTTTCTATTTCTGAAAAATATAACTGAATATTTATCATGTCTGAACAATAACTATAATATTATATTAGCACTGTAACTTGTCTTTCTGCTTGTATATATGTTCTATTCACTAGATGACTAGATTGTCATTACTTTAAGCATCTACTCTATTTCTTCATCTGATCTTTTACGATTCTCTTTCCTAGCTATTTGATAATAAAGCTTATATAATTTCTTTAAATTACTATATAGATCATTATCTTTATACCTTTTGTGATAATTTTCTAGCCTTTCAGTATATGCTTTTTTCTTAAAAAACATTTTTACTGTAAGTATTTTAATATAATTATTCAGATTCTTTTCAGCTTGCAATTTCTTTAAATAGTCTCCATAATTTTTTGCAAGATTATCATATTTACTGCCTTTTCGCAATGCAATTTTTATGACTTTGACTTGCACAAGTTCTATATTCTTATGATCAACCATTTTATATTATTTCTCTATAATGATAAAAAAACTTTAATTATATTCTTTGATAATTTTTATCTGAAAAAATATTTGTTATAAAGCATCTATTCCTTAACTCAAAATCTAACTTTTATAGCACTTTTTTCTGCTTCTTCAGGAGCTATATTGGATGCTATCAGACATTTATATAATTCAATTCGCCAATATCTATATGGGAGAGTTCAAATTTTATCAAATAAAATCTAGCACTTGTTATCATATGGATTCAGCCTATCTTATTTACCCTCTTCAGATATATTTAATGATTATAATTTCAGAGGCCATATATATCATGTTGGATTAATCTCTTATTTCTAAGACATTCTAGGAATTTATTATATCAAAGTTCTCTCTTAACCACGCATTTTTTAACACCCTTTACCTTCTGAATGCCATATTTCTTTTTAGGGTCTTCTGAATCAGGATTATCAGGAGTTTTAAGATCATAACCTGCTAGAAAAACTGAATACATTTTTGGTTTTAAGCATACTGATTTGCCTATTAGATTCCCTTTTATCTCATCCTTCATTAGAAATAAGTCTCTTAAATAGTTAAGATCAAAAATGTCTGATCTTTCTGTTTGATTTTATAAATATCCTCAGTTTTTATCTATATAATAAACGAGTCTGTATTTATATAAAGTAGACAGGCCTTTTCTTCATAGTAAGGCTTTATGTAACTGTACTAAAAGTTGAATATTATGGCCTTGCTAATGTTGAGAATTGCCTGTTCTATATAAATTAGTTTGTTTAAAGTTACTATGCTCTTTAACATATAGATTGCTATAATTTCTCTTTCAAATGTTTTAAAACCTACATATAATAGTGAATTTACTAGGTATCTAATTTTTTTATCTTCTTCTGTTCAGAATAATTCTACTCTCATATGTTTACAGACATTTTCTATCTGTTTGCTAAAGACTGCATTATTTTTTAACTTATAATACATAACTCTAAACTCATTTCCAGTAACCTTAGTTATTTTACGTTTATAAATATATTCTTCAATATATTCTTTCATCTATAGAGACTGTCAGAATTTTAATCCTCCATAAATCTTTGTAACTTTCATCTCTATTTTCATATATAAACTGGAGTATACAATAATAGATCACGTAGTTTTTTTTAGAATAAAGAGTTTAGACAAACTTTTTTCCTATTATATATTTTCTGTCCAATTTCTTTATCATGCACTAATCTTTCATTATACAAGCTAAGCCATTTCTCTAGAACTATCTGCTTTTCTGATGCTAAAGGATAATTCGCAAAGAAATTATGCAAATGTATTGGAGCTTCTAGATTAACTTCTAATATATATCCTATTTCAGTATCTGATGCAATACTTTGTATATCCAAAACCTATTCTGAGCTTACTTTTTTCAATATTTCTATAGGTATGTATTGGGTCATCACACCTGAATATAAAGCATTCATATCATCATATAAGATTCAAGATGTTGATTTGCTTAGATTATAATCAGAACATTTAGGATTATTAGCTTTAGCATAATAATAACTTGCCATTATCATGTCTTCACGAATACCCTTCTTAACTATCAAGTATTCGTTCATATTTGTCATTAGCTTAAGTTCAGCTCTACTACTTTTGTATAAACATTCTGATACAAATACGTAATGAGAGGAATCTAAGCCATCATTATTTAAGCATATGATAGTGTAGTTCATGAAAATGTTTACAAGTAAAAATATGTCAGTTTCAAGATATAAGTTATGATATTCTTCAAAATTCTTCATCTCAAATTCCTGCTATACCTTTTAAACATGTTCATAATCCTCTTTACTAATATTTTGCTGGCTAAAAAGTAAATAAAAATCCTTTCTAAGTAAGAGATTTATTTTGTTGAACTTGTTTCATGAGTTGGTCTAGTCATATGGGAATATCTCTTTTCAGAGAAGAAGCTTGATCTTATCTATTGAGTAGCCTTTCTCTGTAAAGTATCTAATAGTTAAAGGAAATTTTTTGAGCTTTTCTCCTAGATATTCTATTAATTTATCTAGTCTCATTCCCATATATTGAAAGCTATCTAAAAACTGAAGCTGACCTATATCTATAGCTTTGTATTTTCCTATATTCTCTGAGATGCAATTTAGCTTATCAGCCGTGAACTTGCTTACAACTTTCATAAGTAAATGAGAGTCATACTTCTAAAAATTATGACAGATAAGAGGCACTTTAGTTTTGAAAGAACCTATACATAACTTTTATTATAAAAGTCATGAGCTAGACCTCAGTAGTTTTTATTTATATGATCATGATCTTTTACTTTTTGATTTAGTGCACTTAAAGTTTCACTGTATTCTTTCTATATCTTTTTTTTTCTGAATAGTTTTTCTCTATACTTGATTCCTATTCTTTGATTTCTAATAAATTATGCTTTATTTCTTTGAGTTTTTGTATTATCTCTAATGCTGATTTTAAAAAAGATTCCTTGCAAATCCAGTATTCTATCATCTCATTGTATGCTTTAAGATCTCTGATGCTATTATCATTTCTACAAACATTAATAAGTCCTTCTATATGTTTACCAGTTCCTCTTTGATTTTTGTAACGAATCTTTCAAGCATATTTGGACCCTATATAAATCATGACTTATGATTTTATAATTAAGTAAACTATTTATATGAATAACTACATAGCAATAGCTACACAGCTTATGCATTTGTAATCTTTTAGTATATGTTATCTTCATCTTCTCTTCTGTGGTTAACTTTTCAGTTAACATTTTTAGATCACAAAAAATGTGATATGAATTTGGTTGCATGCATTTATGATTATAAAAAACTTTGATACTCTTATTCTTAACTGATATTTACAGTTACTAAAAGATATTATTTGAACCTTTACATTTTGGCAAATGTTTATTATATTTTATCTCTAAAGAGTATATATATAAAGACAATAATGGTAAAGGTATTTTTGTTTTTTATGTTTGCTATGATTATATACTAGCTTATGTAAATCTTTGATAATACAGTAGTGACTTTTTCCTTCTTCTGTAATTACTAAAAGATTTACTTGCTTATATTCATCTTTTCTTTTTTTTGAAATATAACGAAAGTCAAGACATTTATTTTGGTTGTGTCATTCATAGATACATAGACTAATTTCTGAGTTATTTCTTCAAACTTTTTATAAACTGATATTGAGACTGGTACTGAAATTGAAATGTCTTTCATATTAAGCTTCTTCACAAAATCTTTATATAACTAATACAGATTTCTTTCTGAATGAACTTTAATTAGATGCAAAGCTTCTAAGATACACCATCTAAAACACTAGTTGTCATTATTTTGAATATTAATAATTTTATTATTATATTTTGATATAGTTTCAGGTAAAGATATATGAGTAGTAGGATTAATCAGATTAAAATTAGATATCTCTATACTAAATTCTTCTATATATTCTAGGTAAGCATCAAACATTTGGTATATTAGTTAACTCTAACTGTTATACTATTATTTGCTTATATAATTTTTTTTTAATTATTTATTTCTTATGTACCTATCACTTTTTAATCATAGAAACTCTATTAAAGATAAGTATTTACAAGTTTTTCGAAAAGGTTTTACCTATTGTAAAACTGAAGCATTAACTAATTATTAATTAATTTTTTCAAATCTAGTAATAAAAAAGTAGGATAATTGGTAAATATTCTTGCCTATTTTTCCGCAATATCAGAAGGGCTTGTGGAATTCTAATACTAGGTCTAAAGGATGTCAATTCTATTAGAAAGCTAAAAAATGTATACTTTATTCTGATTGCAAAAAGCCTACAGCTTCTACTTATGAACGATGTTCATCACATGTTAGAGGTTATTATGTTATTTAATACTATGATAGACTTTGACAAGAAAGAACTTATATTGGCCAATTCTATGCTAACTAATTCTATGATAAATTTTGATCAGAAATACGAGAAAGAAGTTATGAGGAAATAATGGTTACCTATAGAAATACATTTATAAATCTTAATATTTCTCTTTGTAGTGAATGTCTCATTCTGATAAAAATGAGAGAAGGAGATTATTGCATTAGTTGTCAACTAGAATAAATAAAAAGATTATTTTAACTAACTTAAATTTTAAGCACAATATCTAATGAGCATTTACTAAATTTTCGTTATACTTATTTTATATTTTTTCATTAAAGTTTTATGATTTATATGCTATTTAACAAACTATCTTATGCAAAACTTATTCTTAACTAAGAAAAAATTAGGATAATTCCGCAAATTTTTCTGAATTTTTACAAAAGTTATTTTCATTAGACTTTTATATAAAATATGTTAGTTAAGAAGCTAGCCAGCGTAAAACTAGTTCTTTATTCACAATTTTTGTTAGACTTATTATAGAGGGAATTGGATCATTTTTTTGTTAGGTTTATATGATAAATAAGAAGAGATTTAATAGGCTAATATGTATAGAAACAGATATTAGTATACATATTTGTTAGATTTATTTTATAGAATGGCATATTCTGGGAAAATTGGGACAACTTTTCATTAGATTTATTTAATCATTATGCTATTTAATAAGCAAATACACATAGAGACAGGCTTTGATATATATATTTTCATTAGACTTATGAAATCATGTGACTTATATTTCATTAAACTTAAGAAAATTGTTAGACTTATTTATGAAATAATAAGGACAGTTAGACTTATTTTTGTTAGACTTAAAAAATTATTAGATTTATTTATAGGTAATAGGAACTATTAGACTTATTTTCATTAGATTTAAGTAGTTAATTTGCTAATTAATAAGCTAACTCATGCAGAATCAATTTCTAATATAATAATTTTCGTTAGATTTAATAAATATAACTAAAAAGTTGATATAGAAATTAAGATTCTAGAGCTGTTAAAAGCTTTTCTAATATATTAATAAAAATTGATATACTTTCTAAAGCTAGAGAACCTACACAGGATTAAGAAATATAATATCAAAATTAAGATTTTAGAGCTAATAAAAGCTCTTCTAATATAATAAGAAAAATTAATATTGTTTTTAACGTTCTGTAATCTACACACCCAATATTTCAATAAGGCCTAGATCTTTAATCCTTAAACTCCACTTTCACATTGTGTATTATAAAGAAATTTTAAAAATAAGTTTTTAAGAATTCTTAATATCTAATTAAATATAAATAATATTATTTTTATATAACAAAAAAAATCTAAATAATTTGATAATAATATTAATATATTAGATTAGTTAACATAATTACTAAACTTAAATTCTATTAAATATTATAAATAAATTGATTATTAATTATGATAATTTCTTAATAATATAACTAATACAAAATATTTGTAAAATAAATATAAAATCAAATTAATATTAATTTTATTTAAAATTAATTAATAAGAGTTTTTAAAGCTAATAATAAATATATAAATATGATAATTTTATTAAAAGTTAAGCATAATTTATTAAAAATATTTTATATTTTTAATTTATTATTTTTATATATTAAAAGTATTATATTATGAAATTTTAGTTAAAAATTTTTTTTTTAAAATAATAAATAAAAACATTTTAATTTTATTATATTATAATGAAGGTTTTAACTTTATATTATTAATTTTATATATTATTTAATTATTGAATTTGATAATACATCTTAAAAATTTAAAATTAAGTAATATAATATATTTTTTAAAAAATTAAAAATTTACTAAATAATTAAAAATGTTAAATAAAATAATATTTATAAAAAAAAAAAATTGTTAAAATTATAGTATCTATAAAAATATTTATAAAAGTATAATAAAAAAATATTTATTATAATAAATATAAAAGGTTAATTATAATAAAATTAATTAAAAAGAATGATTATATAATATTTGCAGTAAAAAAATAAGTAAAATTATTAAAAAAATTTTTTTTTTTCTTTTCTATTGTACTGTTTACAGTCAACTCTTATTATAACGAACTCTATATCCTAGACCTCAACTTCGCTATAAGCAGTATTGTCATGAGACATGGACACAGACATGGACTGTCCGTTCCCAGACTGTCCCACGGACATGGACATAAAATTTTTATGTCTAGGACATTTGGACGTATTAGCTAATCATCACGTGACAACTGTATTTGTATTGATCAATAAAATTTCAAAATTGGCGATCTTAAATTTTAGATAATTCCGAAAGATTTATTATTAGGGAGATATTTTACGGTATATCTTGAAGCGAATAGTCCGGTTTCAAAAAAGGCAAGTTTATTAGAAAAAAATTTTTTTTTTATTATTATATAATTTAAAAATTATAGATCAAACGGATAAAATTATTTATTTACTCTAGGATATTTTTAT